TCCAATAGTGGGGCGCCACTTGGCAATTTTGTAATCCATTTTGTACTTGTAGCATCCTTCTTTCCACAATAGTAGGGGGGTAATTGTCATTTTGGCAAGGAGTTGTTATATTAAAAAATAAGAAACTCATTTTCAATTCATTTCTGTTGCATCAAACATGTCCGTGGTCCCAGCCGCCTACTATAATTGATTGAAGAAATTGAAATGTAATGAGCCAAAATGAATTTTAATGGGGCGCAAACAGGGCAAAATATCAAATGCCATATCTTAAAATACATTGTCTTACGCGACTATTTGGCCAAATTTCCCAAAGAAAAATGGAGAGTAACATTAATAGCATTACGTGCTCCGGCGATCGGCCGACGGTGATGGTGACCAACGACGACGGAATTGATGCCCCCGGCTTGCGTGCTCTCGTACGCGTCCTCGTCTCTTCAAATCGCTTCAAAGTCCTCGTCTGTGCTCCTGACTCGTACGTATATACACGCAGACATAGATACGTATATACTTTCGTTTATATGAGTATATCTACTGCATATATTCGTGCTTAAGGAGAAATTATATTTTATGCAAGTCAACTCTAGTTCTTTGAGTGGTGATATGGTCCATTAAAGTGTTTGTAAGTTTGGTACGTGATTGTAGCTGCTTTAGTTTTCATGGTGTAAAGTCTTGGCATTAATTTTGCGATTTGTTGCTAGATTTTAGTGCATTTGTAATTTATGCAATCAATTTTCTTTTTCACTCTCTGTAGTGTTGATATTTATATTTTTTGATCATTAATGTTTTGAGTTGCAAATCAGCTTATGAAAGAAAAATTAAAATCATCACACTCACTTTTTGCGCGGACATGCTTGGTGTGTTAGCTTGTTTTTCTCTACCCTTTATTATTATTTTTTGTTTTATTTGGTGAACCTTTATTTGTCTGATTACATTTTTTTTTTTAAAAAAAAGGGGCAAAGACTTGTGTTTTTGGAGAAATTCGAGTATACAATTTCCTTCTTTTTTTCATCTAGCTTTATCTTGTTGGCATTTTTCGTTCGGTATTGCTTTTTGTCCGTGATCCTATCAGATGCTCTGTTCATGTCAATCTAGTAGAATGACTATCTAAGATTTATTTACAATTATGAAAATACCTTTGAGGTGATGCCTCAATGTTATTTCTTACATGTTGCTGTTTCTTTTCCAGTGAAAAATCTGCTGTTAGTCATAGTGTCACTTGGAAAAATGCTGTTTCTGCTACGCCAGTGGAAATCAGTGGAGCAACTGCTTTTGCAGTTTCTGGTCAGTTGCAACTTGCAATTTTCACTAATTTTCTGTCATGTATACTTCCCGTGTCTCTGTTTTAAACACTCAAAAAAGTGGAGTTTTTGAGGTATAAAAGGAAGAAAATTTTGAAATCAGGAAATTGAAGAAATATAAGCAATATAGTTGATGATTGTAATAATTGATGTTAGAAAAACTGCATTAGACTTTTTGTTGGGGATGGCAATATAAATCTCCTTCACTGTGGCTGATCTCTAAGTAATGACATATCAAGGGAGCTTAGAGCAGATGTGAATAGTGAATACATTTCTTCTTTTGCCTGAATGTTGTTATCTTTTTGGGAATGTTCCAAGATTGATATTCTATTTCAACAAATAACAACTTCTTTTCCTGTTTCAACTGTGTGAAATCATGAAACTGCAAAAGTTAAAGGTATGGCTGTTCGTAATAGAATGGTGCTGAGATACATGCCAACCTTCAAGTAGCATATTTTTGGGTTTTCATTCCTTGTCTTACTAAGCAAACCATCCAGCATTTCATTGGTATTCAGTATGTGCTTGGTGCAGCTTAATATTCACTAGCACTTTTGTGAAGACAATTAGAATACAAACAATAATATTCCGAACTTGTTACAGCTTAATAATTCATAAGGACCTATCTCATATTACAACTTCCTAGATGATGAATGGAAATAGTGATCAACAAACTTGTAGATTTCGAAGAATGCCGAAATTGGAATAATGAATCTGGAAAATCTCCAAAGTTATCTAAAATTTGATTCAACAAAAACAGAGCCATCTAGAAACCCTAGGAATTTTTTTTTATTATGGATACTATAGCGCAATGAAATGACCTCTTACCCTCAAAACATTAAAACAATTAAATAATAGAAAAAAGAAACCGAAATTAAATAAAGAAGCTAGCCGTGCATATGTCTGCCGCTGCTCGCGTTAGGGTGCATAAAGTGATGCATGTGCATTACCAACCGTATCCACGTTGGTTCCTATTTATTTCACTCTGCGAAGCTTTGTTTATCCACATTACATTAGGGAAATAGTATGATACAGCTTTCAACATAGATATTGATAATATGATCCAATTTTATTTATTTGATGATAGACACAAATGTTCTACAACAATTTATTTTCTTTTCAGCTGGGAGATATGCACAACTTATTTTCTACAACTCATTATTTTGCATTACTTGTGTTTTTTCAGGAACTCCTGCTGACTGTACATCTTTGGGAATTTCCAAAGCTCTCTTCCCTTCAGTACCTGATCTGGTAATTATTTTTGCATCAGCTTTAATATTTGATAGTTCTATTGGTTTCATTTCAATTTTCTGTTCTTTCATTTCTTCAAAGCTTAAGCAATTTGCCTCCATCTCGATTGCACACGAGATAAGCAATTTGCCTCCATCTCGATTGCACACGAGATATATATCTTCGTCCCCGTATAGTGCCTGAATATTGATGTACACTGAAGGGTAATATTTGGGCAAATAATTAATCTAAGTTTTTCCGCTTTCCTTCGAAGAACTATATCTTGGCTACTGTCCTCTGTCCTATAATCTGAGCGTTGTGCTCTATTTCAATAGAGAGAGTCGCTTGCAAACTCTTATGTTCAGATATCTGTTTTGCAGGTAATCAGTGGCATTAATATGGGCAGCAACTGTGGTTATCACGTGTTAGTAGCATTGTCTACCTTGGGCCTCTGTATTTTTGTAGATGAGATGACTTCTGATCTAGTTCTTGCTCCAAAATTTTCTTTCATGTGAAGCACTGGCATTCCCCGACATTAGCATGTCCGCGTCCTTGTCTGCATAACAGATAATATGCAGACACCGATACTCCTCATATGCTCTTTTTTTGAAAAGTCAAGTCGTGTCGTGTCGTGTCGTGTCGTGTTGTGTCCGTGTCTTGTGTGAATGCTTCATAGATTGTCTCTCCGTGAGTGTCCTTGTCAAAGTCCTGTAATATGATTTTACATGATATTTACATCAATATATCTGTACCCCCAGTACCTGGTTTTATTCAATACACCCCTCAATGACGTGGATGTGTCAAATTCTTGCACAAGAGATAGCCCCTATTTGGCCCCCATTTTCTAAAACTAATTTTTCCTCAAAAATCATTTTCAACACATTCTCCCACTAAAATGATTTCGCACGTACCTTTCAAAAAAAAAAAAAAAAATGATCTTGCACGTGGACCCATAACTTTTCTCTACTTTTAACCACACACTTGCCAACAAAAAAGAAAAAATTCACTTTTTACAAAATCTATTCTCAAAAAATTTCTTCCAAACAATGGCTTAACTACTAAACACCACTTTTGTGGTTGTAATATGAAGATTCTCAATATCTGGTATAGCTTTGGCATCTACTTACGTTACCTTATACCAGAAAATTGATTTATCAGCAGAGTAGTTATCACATGTCTGTTGATTAAATATATTGTGGTAAATGCAGTGTTTATTCAGGGACAGTTGCTGGGGCACGGGAAGCATTTTTTAATGGTTTACCTTCCGTCTCTTTATCATATGACTGGTATGTATACATTATTTGTCTTAGTCATTGATGTCGGGTAAATTTTTGTTTATACCCACTTCTCTAATATGAAATGAATAACCATAATATGAAATGAATAACCATAACTCAATTGACTTAAATTTCAAGAATAAATCAATTCAATTTGATTTGCTGAGAACCCATAGAGTTTCTTCTGTGTAGAAATGTCTGGTACAAATAAACCAGGGTGTACATACAATCCCTCTGTTTTTGACTGCACTCATAGAACCTCCAAATAGATGTATTTTTGCAACACTGTATTGTAAGTTCACTTTAGGTTCAAATATAACTTTTAAAAATATGTTGAGAATATAATGAATAACAAACTGCTCTATCAGGTAACCTACTGCAGCGAAGGGGCTACAGGTCACCCTTTTATATTTGACTTCAGCCTTCTGCTGTCAATCTAAGATACAAAAGAAATAGTCAGGTTCTTATTACAAAGGCATCGTAAGCCATTTACTGGCTTATCATTAATAATAATAAAAAATTAAAGCTCTTGAATTGAAGCTAAGAATTTGCTAGTCTAGAGGTGACAATATCAGCATTCAGAGGGTGAATTGGATCAATTCTGATGCCATAGGTGGGCTGGCCATATAGGCAACCAAATTTCACTTCTACCCTATATTCTCTCATGACTGTTAAATGAAATGATGATAACTTAATTTTAAATATTTTTGGCACCTGTGACTAAGACAAAAATGATATTTCTGGCATATGTTTTGAAGATGTATTGCGTGTAGTTTACTAATTGTTCTACAAAATAAATTGTTATTGTACCCATCTGATATTTCTTTCAGTGATGGGAACGTTAGAGAAGTTGAATATTATGACTTGTTTGGATTTCTGACTTCCAGGGCAGGAGGTAGGAGTAATGCTGATGATTTTACACTGGCTGCTGAGGCTTGCTTACCCATTATTATTGCCATTTTGTCTGAAATTAAGAGAGACACTTATCCTCAAAACTGTTTTCTGAATATAGACGTGCCAACAGATGTCCGCAATCATAAGGTAAATTGATGGTTTACTCTGGCAAAACTTTTTCTTGTTACCTCCGAGGATTAAGATAAGGTGTTACAAACATGGAGAATCCTATATTGTGTCTGCATTTAGGTGGTTCAACTGCTTAATTCTCACCGTTAACGTGAAATAGTGGAAAATTATGTGTTTCTTGTTGTATGTTTGCTTCATTTGCATCTCTTAAACCTTTGGATTTTTCACCATTGTGGCTTTTCTTATTTAGTGGTACAGTTATTTTCATTGCAACAAGATCACTCTTCATCTTCCTCGGTCCCTATTTCTTCTCACTTCCCTTTCCTTACTTTAATATGAATGGTGTGCATCTTGCTCGAAATTAGTTGGATCAGATGCTCAAGGAGCAAGAATGTTATCAACTATGACTATGGAATCAAATTCATCATCATATAATGAATCAGATGTTCAGAGTACACCAAATAACCATATTCTATTCAAGAGAGAAGTATGATTTCTCTCTTCTACCTCCTTGCACATTTTACTGGGACATCCATTTTTCCATTACAACTGTATTCTACATGGAACTGTAGTTTTTCTAATTTCTTGTCAATTTTCGAATTGTTTTCAAATAATCTGTCTTTATTACTTTGATTGCTAGCCTTAATTTTCTCTTGTTTCCTTTTGTTAATTGATGCTCATTCATATGTATGCATTGTAATATACCACGACCTGCTAAGATAAGGATATGGATTGTATAAATGTTAATATATCTGTTTATTTCTGAGTATGGGACTAACGTTAACCTATTTCTAATGATAGTATTCATGTTGATCAAGCTAAAAAGAAAAAAAAATCCTCTTATAAAACTAATTGATCTTCATATTCTTATACATTAAAGTACTTTTGGATAAATGAGTTAACTGCATGTTGTGGGCTTTGTTTCTATTTTTCTCAAATGTACGTGTTATTTAGTAATCAACTAGGATATGCTTATAACTAGGTTTTTCCTCATTTAATTTCCTTAGTGATCTACACAATGCTCTGGTATATTTTTAAGATCATAAATTCACACTATATAATTTTCTTTTTGATAAGTAAAAATTAAGATTTGATAATTTCTATGATCATTTTACGTTTCTTCTATTTAGTTTGAAGATCTTGTTTATCATTTACTTGCTTGTCGATTTTTTTGTAATTTTTGCCTCTTACTGGGTAGCAGTATCTTTTTTAGCACGAGTAAGATTAATGTTATATCCTCATGAATCTACTTGTGGTTCATCGTTTACTATTATCCTCTTAGCTTGTTTTTAATAGGAAACAAACTACTGTCCCATTCTTTAGGTGATAGGATTACAAATGGAAGATGGGGATACAGACTACCGTTCCCTTCAAGAAGGATATGTAAGTTACATCTGTTTTAAACCTTGAGATTTCTTTAGAAAGGGAGCTCCATATTAATTTATCTTTCACCTTTTATATTGCAGATAACTGTCACTCCTTTAGGCGCCTTGTCGCATGCAGAGGTTAATAGCCAAGAATATTTCAAAGAATGGCTACCGGGCGTGGTTGACCACCTCTCTTCTGCTGCCTTGAAAAGATGTAAATTCTTCCTTTAAATAATTTTTTATGACAAGTCTTAGTCAACTTTAGAATCATATTTGTTTAAGTGTTACGTTTTAAATGTTAGTATCCTCTCAATGTTTATTTTTTCATTTTTGATCACGACCTTATAATAATTTTCATATTTTTAAATATTTCGTTATTGAATTCCATATTTTTGTCATCTAAAAAATTCCAATGGGTTGATGGGAGAAGGCATTATAAATTCTGGGTTTTACTCCAAATTTTCTTTTTTCGCTTTTAGTTTCATTATTTCTAGATTATATTGTACTGCTTATTTTATATGCTTGAGGCTTGTCCAATTTTTCTTTTTGAAATATTGATAATGATGATTTTTTATGTAAAAAGAACGAATCTCACAAGAGAAAGTCATTGCTGCTGAACTTTCTGGTGACCGATGAAATGAGCGGACTTAGAAATCAGTCCAATTTTTTTATTTGGCTTAAATGTTCTCTGATATAGGATCTGGAGATTGAGACTGATCAGGATGGCATTTTTATCCCAATACGGCAAAGTCATGATGAAGAACGTGCCATACTTTTATGAGGTATTATCATTTCATTTTCCAATAATATCTGTTTTTTCATGCTGATGAATTATTTGTTCGACCAACTATGCTTTGCAAGTCGTTTGTGAACTCAATATTTCTATTTGGGGCAGAACCCAATTGATGTACAGTGTGAATCATTTGTCAATTAAATCTATAATGATAGACAGTATTATCAGATACCGTCGTGATTTATGCTATATGTTATGAAAAGTTACCATCAAAGTTGTTCGAAGTTCCTAATTGTTTGAAGACTATGCAGACAGACATCGAAATCATTTAGGTTATTACATCCATTCAATAGCTTTCATAACTTAAACCATTGTTAACTTCTGAAAGGTGTGAAGAACCTATATATCTGCTACCTGAACTTCTGGAAACCGATATCTCAACAAGAAGCCACATAAAATTAGAAAATAATTACTTTACACTCAGATTACTTATTTTCCCAGAAAAATAGTAAATTGATAGGTCTCACCTGAGCTTCTTATACACATATTTCTTTTTTATATGCTATTGACTATTCATGTTTCTGAGATCTTAACATCAATAACTTATTACATTCTATAAGCGCACTCACGAGAAATTGAAAACGAAAATGTGAAAACAAAACTTAAATTTGGGAGAAGTTACTATCTTATATACGTGGCTGTAAATCTCCCATTCACTGTTGTGTTTAGTTGTATGTGGGAATATCATTTGGATGGTGGCAATGCCCGTGGATGTGATTCCACTAATATGGACCAAAGAACATGCACGTCTTCATAGTGGCAGGACTTGACATCCTCGTACAGTATATATATCCCTCTACCTGAAAAACCAACGAAAATGTGGTGAGTTGGCTAGATAAATGCCTTCTCATAAACCTGGGGAATGCACAATATGTAGAGGATGAACATTCGATACGGGTGCAAATGCAAGTGTATGTTGTCGTGCTATAACTCCAACTAGTAACTAACAAAAGCTAAAGAAAGCGTGAGCTTCTGTTTGGAAGAATGGGGAAGAAGAACGAGTAGACGAATAAAAGTGACTGATGCCTAGCTGACGTAGATGGCATCGAATTAGCAATAAAAGTTGTGAAACCAAAACAAACATTTGAAGCGAGGGACTGTTAATGAGGATAGCTTACTCTTTTTTTGGGCAGAGTGCAGACGAATCCACAGCTTCTTCAATGGAGAGAGGAGGGACTGCAGCCACCCCATTTCGAGAAGCGGGTGTGGCACATGGTAGGTGAAAGAAAGAATGGAGTGAAATAAGAAACACAAGAGGGGAGAGAGAAAGGAGGGGAGTTTGCTTAGACAAGGGTGAAGTTTAAGTCACTACCTAAAAACATTTTACATTCCCTTACAGACCATTCATGCTTATCACATTTCCTCTAGTTAAAATGTCTTTTCATACCTTTTTGCCTTGTAGTAGAAGAAGCTACTCTACCAATCAGCTCTTATTTCTTACTTAGAAAAAGCAATAGTTTTTCCTCTTTATACGTGGCCCTTCTCCGTCGATCCAAATGTTGTTTCTACTATGGTTTGGGTTGGGTATACTTTTCACTTGGGATTTCTTTGACCTTTTGGGACCGGCTATTGTATATTTTAAGAAACATTCATCTTTCAAGTACGTCTAAAGTATTCTCTCTCTATTCATCCCCTTATACCAGTAGTATTCCTTTTTGGTTATTGTGTCATGTTACATGTATCTTCCCAAGTCGCCCGATTCTTTATTATTTAAATTTTTAGCTGTCAGCCCATCCTAAAAGTGGCAAGCAGAGCTTGAGGAGCGTTTAAGAAAACCCTTTGACTGAAGATGGTGTAAAATTAATCAAAATCACTAAGGAGCTAAATTTTGCCACTCAAACACCTGTGTTTTTGTAACATCCACATAAGTTAGAATTCATCCTTAAAATTGATTTGTGAGGGGAGTGTGTCCGATTAGTTATAAATTCATAGGACATAAGTTCTACGGGCATTTGATACAATGACTGTATAACTAGTCTTCTGCTGGAAGTAAAGTCCCAAGGTTGATCGTCTACAATGACGGTTCTTCTAAACGGAGTCCTGCTTTGTTACTAATTAGAACAACCACATTGTGTAGAATTTACCCTTAAAACCTGCTTGTAAGGGGATGGTGTTTAATTGGTTATAAACTCAGAGCACGAGCAATGTGAGTTACAATTAGATTGCTGAAGCTGTTGAAGAGATGAAAGTTGAAAAACACCGAAGAAAATAAAATTTCGTGGTTTTCTATATTCACAACTGTTACTAACATACTTTCTCGACCACTTGAAAGAATTTGAGTAAATAAAATTTCGTGATTTTCTATATTCACAACTGTTAATAACATATCTTGCTCGACCACTCGAAAGAATTTGAGTTTGCCAACAAGTAGATCCAAATAGCTTATTTCTTTCAAAAAACTACAAAAATATTCCCAAAACTTGATGAAAAATTAATTACCACATGCAACAGTATTAAATCTAGAAATGCATCCATTACAAGGTAGCTTTGATTGGAATAATGACTATGAATTACTCTTTACAGATGCATATTCCCTTTTACGAATCTTGTTCAATACGCATTGCCATTTTTTGTCAAAAAGAGGTATCAAAAGGCCTATCCCCCACCATCGAGGACTCTAAAAACGTAAAGCGAAACCAAATCCTCCGTTACTAACGAAACCAATTATTTCGTTCACATGCTCAGTCTTGTCAAACTCTAACAAGAGAAGTGTACTCAAATATATTACGCACGATGATTAAATTAGATTTTTAATAGATTTTTTTATAAAAATAGATGAAACGTGTAGTTGAAAAATTCTGATTTTCATAAAATATGTTGTTAACATTAGTTTTGATTAGCTATGACTTAAAATTAAGTTTGAATTTTAATTTCTACGAAACATGCGCTACAACTACATGTGCCCATCTTTTAGTACAGGGTCCATGTGACCCTGTACAACCATTATAATATTTTTCTATAACCCCTGTATCTAGGTAAATATACCACAAAATCATGATATGTTCGAAAAATTAGGGATGAAAATTCGACTGTACTCTTTTGGATGAATTACCGTCTATTCAACTCGTTTTTACGCATCTTTGACTGTTTCCTTAAAAAAAAATAAAAAATTGTTAAGTAGGTATGTCATAAAATGATAAGTTTACCTCGAACTTTATGAGAGAGAGAGAGAGAGAGTTAACGAGAAAAAAAAATTCACCACTCTTCCGCCTCCTTGGACTGCCGCTCCCAACAGGCTGCCCTAATCGTAACCTAATCGCAGCCACGAAGTCTCAAGCATCGAATTCTTGATTTTACATGTTATGTTGAATATGGGCCGCCATTTTTGTCAAGAAAACAAGTATCAAAAGGCATATCTCATGACTTTAGAAATTGTAGAAAGATGGTTGAGCGATTAACTTCTCCTATAATTGATATCTGTGATCCAAAAAATTCTCACATAAACTCACTGCAAATGCTAGAATGGTGTAAAA